CTTTTAATTCTTATATCACCTATTCTAATAACTCATGCACTAGAGCTACTACTACTAAAATTACATTTCATACATTCAGTTTTAGTTCTACTTAAATGAAGGCCTTTAGACTTCAAGGTAGACCTCATAATTCAAGTTTTTCCTGAGCTTTTCTCTCGTCTTATCAATGAGAAGGATATCATTAGCAAAAAAACAAAAACCAAGGTATATCCTCTTGTAATTAGGAATTATTTAAAATTTTATTAAATAATTTAAAATTTTAAAAACTATTTGTATTCATTACTTAACCATTAAATAATAACATTTAAATTTATCAAATTATAATTAATTTAATAATCTATAAATTAATTATTAATTATTAATTATTAATTATTAATCAATTAAACTAATTAATTATTTATTCATTAGTTCCCCCTCTAACTGAAACCCTTGCCCATATTCTCCCTCTCCCAATTTCACCCAAACTTCCCATCTCCACCCAAACCTTCGGGTATCTCCCTTCATGTCCTGTTTGCTCAAAACCATTGCCTTCGTGAACGAACCTTCGCGAGACAGTCATCATTAGAGCAACCTGGGAAGGTAACGACAAGGTCACGGCTTACAGAGACCAACAAAACTCCCATCTTTCTCATCCTTCCGCTCTACTCCAAACATTGAGGAAGGTAAGCTGTTCGGGCCATTCTTTCTCTCCGCTCATCCCAAATTTGTTAAATTCATCAATTTAATGGATTTACCAAATCCCAGATTTACGGCGAATCGGCATCATTTGGGGTTTTACCAAATCTCAAGATTTACAATGATGCATTTTGCAGAATTTAGCCTAAATCCTACATAAATCTCGCTTAAAAGTGGCTAGCAAAAAACCCCTTAGAGTCATTACTTGGTAGCCAGCGAGTTAAATCTACGCCAATCATGAAGCCCTGAGATTGTTAAACAATCATAACAAGATAAAGAGTAGGCAAGCCTCCTAGGTAAAGTTTCTATCTTCCTTTTATTTTGTGCTCAAGCATAAGGTTGAGAATTAGAATGATGTATTAAACCGTCATTTTGCGTCGCCTCCATCTGTTAATTGCTACGAAGCAAATAAAAGTAGTCAGTTTTGAGATGATGAAGAATTTGAATGCACCTAATGAGGATTTTTAGGAAATTTGGGCTCATTGTCGGAAGTGGCCACGTGAGTAATTTTACAAATATGACTGTTATCCATTTTAAGAAAAAATTCTGCATTCATAGGAGTTCACTCAAAACATGTCTCAAAATGATGAGATTGTTAAAAAATCATTAAAGTTGAAAGGTAGGCAAACCTCTGAGGTAGAGTTTTTATCTTCCTTTAATTTTGTGCTCAAGCATAAGGCTGGGAGTCAAAATAATGTATTTGATGTTTTAAGTCTTCGTTTTGAGCCACCTCCATCTGCTACTCACTACCAAGCAAACAAAAGTAGTTGGTGTTGAAATGATGAAGAATTTGTATGCAACTAATGAGGATTTTTAGGAAATTTGAGCTCATTGCCAAAAGAGGGCACGAGAGCAATTTTACAAATATGATTCTTATCCATTTTTTAGAACAAATTCAGCATTTGTAGGAGTTCACTCAAAACATGTGTGTCACAATGGTGAGATCATTGAGTTATTTTGGCATAGATAAGACTTTTTCCTCACTGAAAGAAAATTTCTTTCAATTTAAGCATACACGAGATGTGAAGAGTCAAGTTAGATAGTGCAAGTGTGTCATTAAGTTAAAGCCATAGTACAAAATAAGAGCCTCTAACTCCACTCCCTATCCTAAATCTACCTCGAGTGAATGCGAACATGAACTTTGTTGTGGGTCTGCCACGAAGCAGTTCATGCTCATATGGATTTCCTCAACAGAAAGATTGGCATAATTCTTGAAAGGTTTCAGGGAATGATCATCAATATTAGGTACGTCAGTCAGTGAATGTGCTCTCCTAAAGTGTCTAAGGATTTGGTGAATTTAAGGGTCAAAAAGAGCAAGGTCAGACTCAACTCCCCTATGCATATACAAAGGCAATGACAATGTGACCCTAACAACAGACTCGACCGACTCCAACTAAACACACGATCATCAAGACCCACATGATTCTGTCCACAAGTAACATGCAAAGCAGACAACACATGGAAAATAAAATAAAAACATGACACACATAAAATATTTTAGCTTTATGGCTATTATAATGAGTGCAAACAACAATTACAACAAGAAGAAACAAGCAAAATAGAAAAATAACAAAAAATAAAAATTGTCAAACCAAGATTATATGTTTATCAAATAAAGTTCCTCTAAAATCAGAATGATTATTAACATATTTCCCCGGAAATGACGCCAAAAACTTAATGATCGAAAAATTGAAGCAAGGCATGTCGACTAATCACACAAATAGATGTTTTGAGTAATATGCGGTATCAAAATCAGCATACCTATCCCATGAGGAAATAACTAACAATTATTCTAACAGAAAAATCTCTAATTTACTAACTTTATAAACCAAACTGGGCATGATCACGAGAAG